ATATATATATAAAAGATGGGCTGGGAAATCACAACCTGTGGGAAAGATCTGCTCATCCAGGCTAGAGAAGGCTTTTTGGAGTTAGTAGTATCTGGTCATCACCTTCCCAGGCCTTGAAGAGCGGGTGATGTATCTAAGGTAGGGCAGATTATTCTTCAGTGTTGCCTAGGAACCTCTAGTCTTTAATTTTAGTTCATCTTTTATAAAACTCGTGGTATTTTAATTACCATCAGAAATGACAGATCAATGTATTAAAATCCACTACAAATAAACACACAGGGTAAAATAAAATACATACAACCCACAAGGCAGGTTATATTCATTTATTTGCTGATCATTTTGCCAGGAATGTGGTCAGAAGTGAAACACCTAAAGTAACAATGAAGGCAATGAAAACACAGAGCCAAAGTACTGAAAGTTGAAACTTAGCAATAACTGCTAATATTTTAGTTTTGCTACTTTCTCTTTCTTCCCCCAAGTCAACCAAGCTAAAATGGGAAAATATCTGTGGGGAATTAGGCACAAGGAGAATATATCCCTCACTCTTCTCCAGTGAAAAAAATGGACTCAATGACTCCAAACAAAATGGATGCACCATAAAAGCTACCGCGGGTTGACCTCCTAGCCCTTCCCGATGCATTGCACCTCAGTTGTTCAGAATACAATACATGCCAAGAAAGGATCTATTCGTTGCTCTGAATGCATGAAATTTTCTCTTCCTCAGCCAAATGATTTCAGCATTAATATTAAGGGAGCAGATTCTACTTCACAGGAGAGGGCCAAACTTTGCTCATATCAAGTGCTGCACAGAAAGGCTTAATCCTCCCTGATTCTCAAGATGTCTAGTGGATGGTGATATACAAAAAAAAGACAATACAAGAGAGAAACAATGCCTAGCTAGTCACAAAAACCAGAGGGAACCATATTATTCCTACAATCTACTGACAAATTATACATAACAGGTCAAGGAATATATCTCTAGATAAAGTTTATTTGAGAACAACTGGTCATTACCCAACATTTATCTGCAAGACACACAGTAAGTAAAAATTGCCACAATGGTGGAACTAACCTTCTTGGATGTTTAACAGACATACCCTGAGATCTATACTAATTGGGTCAGAGGGATACAAAGGACACTTTTTGCTCCCTGCCCTCCTAGGTCAAGTAGTTCTAGGGATCATGAGCATCTCACAAAATGTCCTGTAATGGTGGTGGGTCATCTGACCTCTTGATCAAGGAGGCCAAGAAGACCCCACCAGATGGACTTGAACCAGTGTCCAGTCTATAAAGAGGAGGGTCAACACAGAGGAATCATTTCCTCCATGCTTCCAAGAGAAGCCAACAATGGTCGAGCAGGACCTTTGACTTATCTTCACGTAGATGGAACTGGTAAAAGAAAGGAGCCAGGGGCTCCTCCCAAGCCCATGGGACCCCTGAGGAACAGATCCTCAAACAACCTCAAGAGCGAAAACAAATCAGTTTATCTGGTCCAATGGTATGCCCTTAAACACCCAAAAGGGAAGTATAACCAAAGATTTAAGGGGCCAATACAATTTCATAAGAGCACACATACATACAACTAAAAGTTACTTGACAAACAGCAAAGCCAGACAGGCGATACCTTCAGTCGAGTTGTTG